GGGCCCTTCGACCGAGGACCCGTGTGCCTCACCGCGGCGTCGCCATGTCCTCAGTGTTCGGGAAACCCCGTGCGGGCGGCGGGCCGCAGAGCGCGCCCCTCGAGGTCAACTTGGCCATCCTGGGACGCCGCGGGGCGGGCAAGTCCGGTGAGTGGGGTGCGGGCGGCAGGGATGGGAGAGACGGGGACTGGCGGGAGGAACCGGGCGCTACGGGCTCGCGGGCAGGCTCTTCCACTGGCTTCGGGAGCTGTCTGCGCCCAGGTGGGTTGGGTGAGGCACCATGATTTTCTTTGCCTCAGTTTCTCTGTGCTTGGCTCTCTCTCTCTGCTTTGTTCTGAGCTCCTCCATCTCTCAGCTGTCTTCTATTCCTTGTCTGTCTTTCCCTCTGTGTCTCCCCAGTGGGTCTGTGGCCTCTGCGTCTGTGGCCCCCGGTCTGTCTTCCGCTAGTCTCCCCCTTGCCGTTTACCACTCTCCATCTCCTCTTCCCAGGCCAGTCGTCAGCCCTGGTGACTGGCACAAAAGGGACCTGTTAGGCACTGATCCCCAGCCCCGGGCCCCTCTCAGCTTAGTTGCTTGCTGCTCCTTGATTTAGGCCGAAGTGAAGGATCCTGTGGCCCATGAAGGGAGGTGGTAAAAGTCACTGGCTTTTGGGATTTCCCAGGGAGAGGCCACTACCAACTCCTCATCCCAGTTCCCTTGGATTCTGGAACAGAGTGCAAATTCTTATCAAATGTATTTGTTTCAAGCCAACCCCTGTCTTGACTTTCTGGAAACACACTGGACTGTGGTCCCAGGTGCCTGGGACTTGTCCTTGATAAACCAAGATCTTGGACTTCCACTGAGACCATTTCTGTCAACACTGAACTCTGCCTTCACCATTCTTGGCATCTCTCAGCCAGCTGGAGCCCAGAGGGTTGGGGTAGGGGTGTCACCATAGGCAGAGACCCAGAAAAAGGGTTCTGCATTCTCCCCGACACTCACAGTCCCAGGCAGCTGAAGGTGGGAGGACAGAGGGGGCACCTCCACTGGCTGTTTTCCAGTTACAGCCATTAGTGAATGGCCATCACTCAGTTAACTATGGATTTCCTTCACCAGAGTGTTCTTTGAGACTTACAGGGGGCCAAGTCTCCACTTTTGAAGCCAGCTCCCTGGCTCAGAGAGAGGACTCTGAATCATGCTTTCCTACAGAAAAGATTTGCCCTTTTCCCTTTGAAAATTAGATTATTATCTGTAGCTCTGTCACTGGTACAGTTTAGCCAGTGACTACATGAATGAAAGAATTTAAATTTTAAAATATGTATTCCCTGGGCATTAGTTTACAGACTGACACTGTTATGAATCCTGGGAAAGAATTTTAAGGATTTTCTTTAAAATATTGCATTACTTTTTAAGAGTTCAATATAATAGTGGGCTGGCGCTTGGCTTTCTATGGCTAAATTCTGAACAAAATCAGAGTCCTGTTAATGCATTCCACCTGGAGAAGACTTCATTTTAGAGTTTTATTCTGTGAGACTCCCATGATGAGTGCAGAGGCCTTAAAGCCAAGACTTGAGGACGGAGGACTAGAGGATGTTTACCTGGGACTCAGGGGTTCACACCCCTCCCAGAGATTACCCACTGATCAATTCAGCTCTTACTCTCTCTTTGTTTTGTAGCCAAAATGGGAATAAATGCCCCCACAGTTCAGAGTCTTTGTGTCTTGTCCAGGATAGGGGATGTCTCTCTCCAATTTGAGTCTCACCAGGCTGACCCTAAAGTAACTGGTTGCATGAGTCCAGACCCCTTAGTTTGGGTCTTCACAAACACCCCATAGGCTTACCTCTCATTTCTTTTCTTGCCTCCCTTTCCCCCAACAAAATCCCAGGATTCAACTGGGAAGGACATGGTTCCCCATATTTCTGGCTTCCTCTAAGCCTCTCAAATCAAATTCTCAGCTCCCCAGCCACATTCCGCCAGAGAGCAGAAGCTGGTGTCAGCCAGGGGTCACAGAGGCTAGATAAGTCCTCCCGAAAATGAGAGGGGCAGCCTCCGGGGCCCGCAGCCAGATACGATGGGGAGGCTGAGCTGACGTCTTTCTGCTTCTTGCAGCCCTGACCGTGAAGTTTCTGACCAGGAGGTTTATCAGCGAATATGACCCCAACTTGGGTAAGGACCCACTCCTCCTCGCTCCTCCTGCTGTGCCCCACTTGGGTCTTCCCAGCACACACACCTATGCCGCTGCGATGGGACCAGGCCTGACGAGGACCGCACATCTCAGGGCAGAGGGGAGGAGCCAGCAGGATGACTCAGCCCATGGGGCAGAAAGTTCCAGAAATATACCCTTCCACAGTGCACCCCAGACAACCGGGAAGTTGGCCCAATTAAGAGAACCTAGAAAAGCCAGTGTGTGCTAAAATATGAGTTATGATGAGACTAAAAAAAAAAAAATCAAACATCACAGAACAACCACATCCATTAAGTGTTATTCTTTAATGTAGTCACTCAATGTACTTTTCCAGAAAAGCTGGAAGACATTTGGGAAATTCCCTAGTGATAGTGGCTTCTAAACCAGTTTTATAACCACACAAGAAAACTAGTCTTGTTTTGTAGCTATATCATGGTATATTGGGAAAAAAAAGGATGCTCTGGTGTCAGTCAGAGCTGAGTTTGAATCCTGGCTCAGCCACTTATGGGCTGTGCCTCTTTGAAGGAGTCACCTAACCTTTCTGAGCTTCTGCTTCCTCATCTGTAAAATGGGACTAAAAATACCTATCTCAGGGAGTTACTGTGAAGATTAAAGAAATAACACATGTGAAAGTTCTAGCCTAGTACTCGCCCCCCAGGAGACGTTCAGTATATATTCACTCCTTTTTTCTTCCTCCTCACATGGCTTCCCATCTGTGGTGGCTGAGATTCCCCCAGGTTAATCAGATCAATTTCTTAAAACTATTTTTAGCAGCAGGACATTTTCCTCAGTACCCTCCTACATGGAACCCCAGTATCTGAAATAAATCAGAGCAGAATTTTATTAATATAAACGTAACTTAAAGCTCACATTTATAACATCTGTTTCTTGCCAGCCTTCCACTGAGAAAACTCGGGTTTCTGGATGCTCTTTGCTTTCTGAAAATGGGGATTTTAGTCTTAGGTTATTTTCTCCATTCATAAGACTTGAACAGAGCGTTGGTGGGACTCCCCCACCCCCAAGGGCCCTCTGAGGAAACCCAGGGCTCCGGGAGGACCCTCAGGGGTCCTACAGATTGAAACCTCTGCAGTGCATCACTACTGCAGCAGGCCTCTGTTGGAATGCCCCCGTGACACCTGGAGGCAAGAGCGCCTTAGCCCACTGGTGCCCATCAGCCCCAGTAGAGGGGCTGGAATATTGAATCCCAGTGTTGGAGCAGGAAGGGACATTAGGACCATTTAGCCCCATGGTTTTTAGAATTTGCTCCTTAAGTAGCAGAATCCCTTCTTCCAAAGAGATCTTACACATGACCCAGGGTGTCAAACAGCAAAAGCAGCGGGGGTCCCCTGGCTAAGTCAGGAGTGCAGGGCAGGCAACTCACTGGCAGTCCCTAAGGGGTTTGTTCCTCAAAGCTTAACTTGACCGTCTGTGTTTTGACATCACCCCTCAGCTACAGTGGAGGAAGTAGGCCCAAGGACCTTTCTGGGCCAAGGTCACCCAGCAGGTCTTAGGGGAGCCCATTTGATTAGCAGAGGTCAGTGCCCATGGGAGTGGGACACAGGATGCGATCGTGTGCTGGCCCCGGGGGAAGTGTTGACAGAGGCCAGAACATGAAATCAGATAGAGTAGGGACATCGAAGACGGGGAGGGGTGGAGGGGTGGAAGGAAAGGCCCACAGCAGGGATGTCAGGGAAGGGAACGTGGACATTCCCCAGGCTGCTGCTTCACAAGACAGGTTCTGCCTACTTCAAAGATTGCATGAGGCACACGTATACTAAAAATCATTAGCTGTTTATCTGCAATTCAAATTTAATGTGTCATCCTATATTTTATTTGGCAATCCTCCTCCAGTCTCTCTTCTTCATGTCCCACAATCCATACCCTTCGTGCAGGGTCCCACCACTGGAGCCCATTACAGTGCTGGTTTGAGCCTCCTGATTGAGCAATTTTGGAGTTCTGAGCTGGTAGGGAATGCGCAGTCAGACTGTCTGGCAGGGTGGTGGCAGCCCTGCAGCAGTTAGTCACCTCAGCCTTTGGGCTCTCACCCCTTCCTGAGAGCTTCTGAGCTGGAGCGATGACCAGACGCTCCCCTCTCAGCCATTCTGGGAGGCCAGTGCTGCGCCTCGGGGGTCCTGCCCACTGTCTAATTCCAGCCACTATCCCATGGCTGGTTTCAGTAACAGCAGGACTCTTGGACAGAGCCTTTCCTTCTGTGGAGAAGTGAGTGAGCATCCAAGGAAGAGTTAGCCATCAGGAGATGGGAAACAACCCTCTCCCCTCTTCAAATGTCTCCCAAGAGCTAGAGCTCAAAGGGAGCCTCTTGAGGGTGGAAACCTGTGTGGTTCCTTCTCATTTCTAGCTCAGAGTGCAGTGCTAGGCACAACGTTGATGCTCTTAAATATGGGATTGCATTTTGGTTTTAGGATTTCCCTTTGCAGAAGCGCTCCTATTATTGCTATTTTACAGGTAAAGAAACTGAGGCCAGAGAGGGCTCAGTGACTTGCCTAAGATCATGGAGAAACTCGAGTGCAAAGGAAGATGAGACGCCACCCCAGTTGCCCTCCACTAAGGGTAGCCTTATGCTGTAGAGAGCCTGGAGTTACACGTCTGCGTGACACTGGGCTCTCTGAGCCTCAGTTTCCCCATCTGGAAGATGGGACTGATAGACTGTGCTCTGTCTCTGTATGAGTTGTGTTATGGGTTGGGACTGTTAGAGCTGGTAGGAACTGAGAGATTCAGTGCCTGTGAAAGGGCTTTGCCTGTGCAGAGCGCCCCAGGAGGGGTGGGGGTCTCCAGGAGAACCCGCTCCTCTCACAGAGGGGCTGGAGACACCTCACATGGCTTGCCCAGGGCAGAATGACAGGTTCTCATCTCTCTTGTCCCGCCAGGATAAGGACGCCATTTCTGAGGCATCATCCTACACACACTCCGACCAGAGCTCCTTTGGTGACATTTTAAAAATTATTACTGCAAATAAGAGAAAAATACTTTGGGGAAAGGATCTTCTCTTGGCATTAAAGTTCTCAGAATGTTATTTGGAACTAGGAGTGATGAAGCCCACATTTATTAAAGGACTCCAGAATGCCCCGAGGGCAGGGACTTTGTGATGGGGAGACAGGCCATTACTATGACTTGGAAAGGAGCCCTCCCCACCAAGACACCTCACTTACAAAGGGGAGGGAGCTGAGTAAGAGAATCTCATGATCTCTGAGGGGATCCCAACGTAGAGACAGCCCAGCCTAGAATCTAGCCCTGAGTTCATGTTCCATCTGATAGGGTGCTGTGTGGCCCAGGACAAGTTCTCTCTGTCTCTGGTCCTCACCTCCTTGTCATCTCTGTACAGCGGAGCTAACAGCAGCCTCAAAAGGCTGTTGTGCTATAGGGGACTGCAGGAGACCAAGGCTGGGCTAATATTTTCCCTTGGGCTGATCACAGCACGGTGCCTGTGTGGGTACAGGAGCTGTGGCGTACCTCAAAGGCGTGCACCAGACAACTTTGGCAGGAAGATAAAGAAATATCTGAACAAGATGTAGGCATCCAGGGGCAGCCAGCTCTTCTTGCACCAAATATAGTTAAACATTTAGGGCATATTTTCCATTTAGGTTTTTTTTTTTTTTTTGTTGCTTTAGAATATCTTCTTGCACCAAACTAATAGTTAAACTAATTAGGTCGATATTTTCTAGTTTTGTTTTTTTTTTGTCTTTGAATAAGAGCGGCTATTTATCCCAGTCCCCAAAGCAGGCTGGAGACGGGAGCTGTCTGTGATTCCTGCTGGCTGCTAGTGGACCTGGCGTGGGTCCAGGACTGGCTTGGCTGCCAGTGGCCCTTCAGAGAGAGGTGTTTGTGAATTCTGCTAGGGTTGGGGGATACTCCTCTCACAGCACCAGCAGGGCAGAGAGGGCCCCCATTCTGCCCAGGCCGTTCTTCTTTGGGGTCACGTGGGGCCCAGGGACCCCCCACCCCCACCCCAGGGAAAGGTGAGGGCCAAGTGCATTCACACAGGTGGGCTAGTGGCAGAGGGGAAAGTTGGGGTAGGGAGAATGATTGCCTGTGACAGTGAGGTCCTCTTTGCAGGCCTGGCCGCTTATGCTTTCTCAGGTTTGAAGTCATGAGAACTTTGAGGAAAAAAAAAAAAAGGTAAAAACTTATGGAATCCAAATAAGGTCAGTGATTTAGTTCATAGTATGGTACCAATGTCAGTTTCCTGGATTTGATCATCGTGCTACGGTTACGTAAGGAGCTAACACTGAGGGGAGCAGAAGGAAGGATACACGGGAACTCTCTGTACTATTTTGCAATTTCTACATGAGTCTAAAATTATCTCAAAAAAATTTTTTTAAATCACCCAGGAACGTGAACCTGCTCTGAAAACTTTGGAGCACTATGTCCCCACTGTCCTTTACCAGGCATTTGTGGAGGGCCAGGCCTCACGCAGCCCTGTGACATGGTGCCGGGACAAGCATTTAGCACAGTGCCTGGCACGGAATAAAAACTTGTAAACTGTTAGCCAGTGTTATCATATTATCCTCATTTTAAAATGAAGAAACAGCCTCAAAATGCTAAAATGACTTGGCCAAGTCACACAGCTAAAAAGTAGCTGAAGTTGGGTTTGATTCCACATCTCCAACCTAAAACTTCCCACTACACCAGATTCCTCTGCTCTTATTTTTTTTTTTTAAAGCACACGTTTTGCTTTTTTGTTTGTTTGATGGTGGGAAGGTAATTAGGTTTATTTATTTCTATTTGGAGGAGATACTAAGGATTGAACCCATGCTAAGCATGCACTCTACCACTTGAGCTATACCCTCCCCATCCTTTTGCTCTTATTTTGACAAGGTAATTATTTGTAGAAACTTTCTTGAGATGTCTGAACAGGGTCTGACCCCTCTCCCTTAGTGTTGTATGCTGCTTCTTTCCTGTCCCTTCTCCCACTGGGGGCAGGAGGGTTGTCCTGATTGTCCCTGGGGGCTTCTGGTGGGCCAGGTAGTGGTTGGAGGAGAAGAGGGTGGAGAAGCTTGGGGTTCAGGAGGGAGGGGCCATCAGTATCTCTTCTGCTCACTGGGCCCGTGATCCACACACTCCATCCATCCTGCAGGCCTGGTGGGTGGACCCAGAACACAGTTCCGTCCCCTGCGGCGTGTTCTGTGAGTCACCTCTGACGTCCTGAGCCCTGACAAGTGGAGTAGCATCTCCTTGGTGGGAGGTTCTGCCCATGTCCTCCATGTGGGGGAGAGCCAAGGCCTTTCCAGTGGTCCCGGCTCAGCCAACCCCAGAGCAAGTCCCCCAGGGGTGCACAGGGGTCCAGCACAGAGGGAAGCAGGGACTCAGACCCAGCCCACCAGCAGTCGGCCTGCCTTTCCACCACCATGCTGATTGTGTGTTGCAGAGGACACCTACAGCTCAGAGGAGACCGTGGACCACCAGCCTATCCACCTGAGGGTCATGGACACTGCGGACCTGGTAACATTTCCCCCATTACCCATGAAGAGCTGAGAGTCAGTTTAGCCTCTTGAGAAATCCTGCTCCCAGAGTGGTGGTGGCAGTGGTGAGAGGGTCTCAGATGGCAATTTGCAAACCTTTTAAGCTCCAGTTTGCAATGTGACCCTGATTGAGGCACTGACCTTTCTGGGCCTGAATCTGTTCATTTGCCAAATGAGAAGGGATAGGACAAGGCCTGGGGGTGCCTGGGGAGACCTGATGATTGCTGGCGTCAGCTCTGCGTGTTGTGCTCTGGAGCTCGATGCCTGCATACACATGGAGACAGGTGCACAAACACGTGTTTACACAGAGGCTCCCCCGGCCCAAGTGCCCCCGCCGGGGCATGTATCTCCCTGTGTTCTCACCACTCCCAGCCAAGGCTGGATGCCAGTTATTCTTGGAATCCAAAGGGGCTCCATGAAGCTGACCCCAAACCAGTGGTGCTCAGGCGCAGCCAGGTCTCTGTGGGGGCCATGCCAGAGTCTTGGCTCTGTGCCCCAGAGGCCAAGGTCTCCAAGTCTCTGGCTGGGTGGTGGGAGTGAGGCTCAGAGACAATGTCTCCTTTCACGCCAGGCCAAATCCACACTCAAGTGCCCCTTTGAAAAGGGCCCTGCCGGGGAACAATATACAAAGACCCGGGGAGCAGGGAGGTGAGATGAGACTGCTCAGGTGAAGGCCTTTCCCCCGACCTCCTCTGCCCCTGACTGAGGCTGCCCTCCTTTGCCCCAGGACACGCCCAGGAACTGCGAGCGCTACCTGAACTGGGCCCACGCCTTCCTGGTGGTGTACAGCGTCGACAGCCGCCAGAGCTTCGAGGGCAGCAGCAGCTACTTGGAGCTGCTCGCCCTGCACGCGAAGGAGACGCAGCGCGGCTACCCTGCTCTGCTGCTGGGCAACAAGCTGGACATGGCCCAGTACAGGTGAGCGCGGTGCTCCGTCCCACGTCTGGGGCTCGCCTTCCTCGCTCGTAAAGGCCGGTGTTTTCAGGGATTGTCTGGCTGCTAAGAAGAGTAATCCCCTCGAATGTAGGGGAAAGGGGATGTGATGTAAGGGAACAGGGAGCAAGTTTTCCAGGTAGCCAAGGACAGGAAGGGAAAGGCATCTGGGCTGCACAGAGGCTGGACCCCAAAGTCAAAAGAGAGGTCACTCCTTCCACCCTCCTTAGGCTCTGAGATCTCTCAGCCCCACCCCTTCTCGCTTGAGACTGTATGGCCTTCCATTTCCACTCCCCACAGCTGGCTGGTCATTCAGTGCCCAATTCCAGTTCCAGGGAGAGAGGCTGTCATTGGCTGCTTGGGTCAGGTGTCTGCTCTGTTCCAAGCAGCTCTTTCCTCATCCAAGTGAGGTCCCAGGCTCACTCCCACAGCTGGCTGTGTTCTCTTACAAAGGGTTGGACTTGAATCAGAGGTCACAGACTGGGCCAGAGGGCAGGTGACCACTGAATACTGCAGCCGTATTTTGCTTGGCCGGCACAGGGTTCTTAAAAGACCTGGAATTGGAATGCTTTGAGGCAGGGTATGCGCTCTCCAGCTGACCACAGACCTCGCACTCCCCATGGCTTACCTCCACCCTCCCCACACATTCAAGTTGTCTGCTGGCCCCTGAGGTGTTTGGGACTGTGATGCCTCCACCTGATGAGTGATCCCACTGGTCGTCTTAACACTGACGTAGGTGGCCAGTCCACCTACGAGGTAGGCCACCTTGCACCAGCCTTCCTCCCATCCCTCCCTGCTCAAGGCGGGTCACTCTTGCTTCCCCAGGCCCCAGAGGCTCACTGACTTATGTTAGCAAGAAGGGGACCTTTGGTATAGGACAGGTCGGATGGGCATTGGGAAAAGGGGGCTCATGGTAGGGGCCTTCAAGGCGGGCAGGCCCTCAGACCAAGACAAATTCCATCTCAGGGAATGAGGCAAGTGTGATCTTAAAGCCAAAAGGCAGTCTGTGAGGTTTCACAGAGACCCTAGAAGCTACAAGAGGGATCGGAAGACTGGATTGTGAATAAACCAGTTTTAAATATGAGGAAAAAACTAGGCCACTGTTTTGGTTCCAGTATTTGCCAAAGGGATTGTCTGAAAATGGTTTGGGAGCAAAGAGCAAAGTAGCATCAATTTCCTAAGAGCAAGTCGTGACAGTTTATCGCCATTTCCTTCCTTGATCAAGTCCCGAGGTTAGTAGATCAGGGTTTGCTGGGCACACAGTGAATCTAACTTTTAGCGAGCGTTGGTCAGTGTCTCCCATGGCTGTCTTGTAGCTAAAGGGTAAAATGTGGGTTAGAGTAGAGGTTCCCAAACCTGATAGAATTTTCACTAGGCTGCAACAGAATAAGAAAAGGGATACTGTTACCTGCCTGTGTTGCCTGTTCACACTCATGCATGCACATATGGGGACCTCATTTCTGAAAGCTCATTATTCACACCCCACAGTGACAAAGTATTCTTCGGAAAGGAGTTTCTCAGGAGCTGACAGTCAGGGCACCAGCCCTGAGTAGGAACTGGCTTAGATGCTCTGCCCTTTTTTGTCCCAGTCACTCTCTGTCTCTGATACTCCCCTGGACAGCTGGCCCACTCCCAGCCTTTGCTCCTGCCAAATTAACCTTGGCTCAGAAACCTTTTCCCACCAGTACTCCCCCTGTGTCCCTTTCATGTCACCGGCTGTGCCATTGTCCTCCAGTGGAGCCACTCAGCAGTGGGACTGAGCCACTGCAACCGTGGCCTCCAGACCTCAGTGACCCCCCCGTCTCTTGCCTCCTCTGGACATCTGACCTACCCAAGGGCCAGTCGTGTTTTACTGCTCACCCTGAGTCCCATGGCTTTCAGGACCTTTCCACTTACAATTACTCCATCCCACCATCACTGGAGGCGGTACGGGACGGAGCTGGGGAAAGGTGCGGCTCCCTCTCTCATGTTGTCACCCCTGCTCCCTCCTGCCCCTCCCCTAAGCAGGCAAACAGAACTCACAACGAGCCCTGATTGCTCTGCCGACCGCAGAGTCCTGAGTCACCTCGGCCTACAGGCCCCTGTAGACACTGGTCTCATATCCTCTGACAAAACTGCTGCCTTTCTCCAGAGCTGATCCCACAGTCTAGAGCGGAGCGTGGCTCATTTCCTGACCGAGGGACCCATGTTGGAGTATAGGAGACACGGGGCTGTGAATGGCCATCTTCTCTGGCCAGAGGCAGGGTCTAGCCAGGGACTTTGGGCCAGTTTCTCCCTTCCCCTCAGCCTCGTTGTGAAATTCTACCTTTGGTGACATCAGCCACCACTTACTGAGCAGGGACTATGCTAGGCACTTGACACAAATTGTCTTTCCTAACCTTCTTAACAACCCTGAGTGGCAGCTGTCATTATCCCATTTTACTGATGAGAAAACTGAGCCTCAGAGAGATGAAGATGGCTCCAGCTCACAGAGCTAGTAAGTGGGGAGTGGGATGTAGGCCCAGGCTTGCCTGACTTGGATGCATGCTCCTGACCCCGCCTCGCCCTGCTTCCCCGCCAGGCAGGTCACCCAGGCAGAGGGCGCAGCCTTGGCGGGCAGGTTCGGGTGCCTGTTTTTCGAGGTCTCCGCCTGCCTGGACTTCGAGCATGTGCAGCGTGTCTTCCACGAGGCAGTACGGGAGGCACGGCGGGAGCTGGAGAAGAACTCCCTGGCCCGACCCCTCTTCATCTCTGAGGAGAGGGCCCTGCATCACCAGGCCCCGCTCACAGCCCGGCACGGGCTGGCCAGCTGCACCTTCAGCACACTGTCTACCGCCAGCCTGAAGGAGATGCCCACTGTGGCCCAGGCCAAGCTGGTCACTGTCAAGTCATCCCGGGCCCAGAGCAAGCGCAAGGCACCCACGCTGACCCTGCTGAAGGGCTTCAAGATCTTCTGAGGGCCCCTGCTCAGGATCCCAGGCTCGGCACTGGGCAGTCCCCAGGGCAGGGCTGGCTTCTCACCACCAGCTTTCCTTCTGATGGATCAGCAGCCCTCGCCCCCTGGTGGACAGCTGACCCCTCCTCCAGCACCAGGCAGTGTCCCTGTCACCCAGTTCACTCTACAGGCAATAGGGACAGGCAGGAATGCTGCTCCTATTCCCTCCAGGCCTTGGTTTCCATAGTAACCACTGCATCCCTCACCCTGATGGGAAACAGCCACCGTGACAACCCAGGGACCTGGGGTCAGCCTGAAATGGAAGGAAACTGCAGTGTCGTCATGGCGCCGTCACCTCTTCCTGCTCCAGCTGCAACCAGGCCAGATGTGGCCCCTAGTGGACAGCTCTGTGTGGACAGCTCCAGGAGCCCTGAGAACATCCTGCAGGAGGGACAGTCTCGAGGTCCCAGCACCTCCTGGTGGACTGGAAGGGCAGGGCGGCTGCAGTTTTTGGAGGGCCAGAGTCTGGCCTTGTCACTGTCTTCTGATCTCACAGAGGCCCCAGCAACAAGGCCTGTAGTTGATCCAAGTAAAACCTAGTTGAAATAATCCTACGGGACAGCCTGGGAGAAGCAGAGGTGTCCCAGGAAGGGCTGTTTCCAGTACTTTGCCTCTCAGTGAGGGTAGAAGGTGGGAGCTGTGGGTAGGCCAGTGTAGGGAGCCTCCAGCGTGTTTTTAGCAGGAGGCAGGGCCCCCGTATTTTCCCACCTTAAATCATGGGCTCTGTCCACAGACCCTGGGGACCAGCCTTCTCAAGTTTAATGAGCAAAACTGCAGAACAAAGTTATTCTCTGCAGTGACATTCACCCAGGACTCCAGGGAGCCCACAGCTGTATCAGACATCCCATGGGCACTCAGAGGGAGAAACACAGTGTACTGTTTGTACTCTGGTCCAGTGGGACCTTTAGCAATGGGTCTGCATGTCCAGAGTCTACTTTTGTAAGATAGAACCTAAAGCATTTGGGGTTCATAGAGCAAATTTTTGCATAAATTATCTGGGGTTGCCACCACAGCTATAAGCCACAACACTGTGGTTCAGACACGGGATCAGGACACTCCCACTCCTCTGGGATCCCACGGTTTGCGGGAGAAGGGTCTTAGAGGCAGAGAGTTTCATAATTCTCTAGCTCTGTTTACCACAGGACCCCTGGTCCAAAGGAGGTCTTTCATGGACCCTCAGCAGATAAGCAGGTAAAGGAGAGGGCTGGGTGGGGGGAGGAGGGAAGGGGGTTCTGAGCCCAGAATCCTGCCCATTTCCCCATGAGCCCTTCCAGGAGCTTGGATAGAAAACCAACAGCTCCAGCCCAGGCTTCAGCCACATTCTATAGATGGAGAAGCCGAGGTCAGAGGGAGGCTGTGAACCCCTCGAGACCACTCGAGGAGTCCTGGCCAGGCTTCCTGACCCACAGGCCGGCTCTGAATTTCATGCTTTTGCTCCCAGCCGCTTATGTGTGGACCACCACCATGTGAACAAACTATGCAATTCCAACTGCCCACATCCAGAAGCATTTTAATAAAAAGGGGGTTATTTTGGTTCATTTTTTTCATAACAGAATTTTAGTTTGATTGCAGGTCACTCCGTCTGCTAACAACTCAGGGACCCTGCCCTGCACCCTCACTAGCTCTCAGATTCTCGTGGGTCTGGAGGAAAGGCCAGAGGCGCATCACTGTTTTTTAACTCCATTTCCACCTGGGCCAAATTTTGCTTTTCTGAGAGCAAAGTCTCTCTTAGGGTGGTCAGGTTGCTGTCTTCTTTGGTTCCATCCTCGGCTAAGTATAGGGCTTCTGGAGTTTGTTTTTCCTGTGGCAGCTTCTTTTGATTTCTGGGAGGAGAGAAAACATTGTTGAATGTGAGTTCCCCGAGCTCGGGTACCGAGTGGTTGGGGCAGGACTGGGTCTCCGAAGTGGGTTCGCGAGTGTAAGGGGGAAGCCCAGCACGCGGTTCTCACCACATCCTCATTTTCACCTGTGAGCTCAACTACTATTGCTCCCCTTACAGGTGAGGTAGTATGACTCAAAGAGGCCAAAGAAGCACATGCCTGGGATGTGCGTTTAAGCTCCTGACTCTGAGTCCTGTGTTCTTTTCACCAAACCACATTTTCTCATCCTACTTAATGCAGGTCCTTGTTACTCCACACCCCATCCCCAGACAAACTACCACAAGAAATTCCTAACTAATCTTCCTGCCTCTAGATGCTTGCTTCTCCCAGCCTACACGCACCAGTCATGATTCTAAAGTCCCCGTGTGCACACATCACTCCCCAGCTCAAGCACCTTCAGTGGCTCCCCATTGCCCACTTCCTTAACCTGGCATTCAAGATCCAGTCTTCCTCCCAATAACTCTCCTAATTGTCCTCCCTCTGAGGTGGTTTTACTTAAGGTACCCACCCCTAGACTTCCTGGCCACAGTGGAAGGACCCCGCTGCGGTGAGAGTGGACCACCCAGACAATCTGCTTGGGCCATGGTGGGATTAGCTCAGTGTCTACTGCTCCCGAGGACACCCACCTTGTCTCTGAGGTGACAATGAGGGCATGCTTCCTGACAGGGTGAGAGAGGCAAGGTCACCTTCTTAGAGGCTGTACTCCCTCAGGGTCCTTCTATAGCCTGCATCCAGACCAATCTTGCTAAAACACAACCCTTTCATGTCCCTGCGCAGAGCTCTCCTCTGGTTCCTCAAAGCCCACGAACTAGAACCTGAATGCCTTAGGACGGCCCCCAGGGCCGGCACGCTGGGCCCTGCTGCCTCCTGTCCTCCGTCTTCCCCTGCTCTCCTCACACTCCACGCCACAGCCCCTCGGGCCCTCCTCCTCCTCTGTCTCCAGCTTGGTGTCCCCTGGTCTGGAAGGCTTCCTCAGCCCCCCGCCTTTTTTTTTGCCCCACAGACCCCAGATCCCACCTCTGCCCCCACAACACTCTGTATGTCCCACAATCACATTTCTGTCACTCTAAACTACAGTCATCTCCCCACCAAATCCATCAGGCTGGGGCTGAATTTATCTTGTCCAGGCCTGTGGCGCCCACTCTTGGCATGGAGCTTGGTCCCGAGCAGGTGCTCAGCTCATTCTGTGGGATGAATGACAAATGGGCACTTGGTGATTTCTTTTTGACTTTATAGCTGAACTGTGATGAGGATTCATGGACCATATAAAATATAGCATAGAAGGAAGAGCATGAAGGTTAGGCCAACCCTTCCATGGATCCTTAGTGACCTTATTCTGTACAGTGGGAATAAGTAACCTGTGTCTGCCCCACTTTACAGGGCTATCTTGATCAAATGGGAGAATGTGATGGTGCCTTTAAAATTCTAAAACGTGATATGGATCTCAGGGTGGGAGTCTCATGGTTACTGTGTGAAAGTTAACTGCTGTAATGACTGGTGGGGATATAGTAGTTATTGAATGAATGAATGAATGAATGATGGGAAGGAGTGAACTAAGCATTTATTGAATACCTTCTAGAACCAGACACTGTGCTAGTTGATTGGGGAAAACAAAGTTGAGTCAAATGTGGACCCCGCCCTCAAGGAACTCTCAAAAGTTAACCCTAGAACCATCTAGAGAGTTTAACAAAATGCCAGTAGTCCCACCCCAGACCCTTTGTGTCTGAGTCTCCAAGGTGAGGCACGCACGGTATTCTGTGTATTTAATATTCCTCCTCAGGTGATTTTGTTGTGCATCCAGGGTTAAGGAGTATTGTTGTCATAAAGATGTCAAAATTACCCCAAGGAGCCCTGACTGATCTTGCATCTGGCCTTGGAGCAGGGCAAGGCTTTCCCCTGTAACAACGCCCCTAACTCTGCAAAGCCCCCACTGAGCACGCCTCACAATCCTAGCAGGAGGGAATTCATTATTATCACCTTTTGTGGAAGGAGAAGCTGGCTTGGAGGTACTGGGTTTCTTGCCCAGCTAGTGAGTGAAAGAACTGGAATCTGAACCCAGGCCTTTGTGACCCCAGAGCCAGAGGTCCTGACTTCTGGGACGCACCAGCCCCTGCCCTGCCTGCTTGCTGGCCAGAGTCGGGGAGTGGTCATCGGGGACAGTTGTGAGTTTTTCAACAGCTTTGGGTTCTCAAAGGACCCTGAAAGCTGCATTTTGCTGTCCCAAAGGGTGGACAGCCAAGGCCCGTAGATGACCCCTCTCTAGATTTCCTTTGGGAAGGCAGGGCCCCCACCCTCCAGAGACCACCCCCAGACCGGCTCCTCACCTGTTTGCCTGGATGCTCCTTCCCAAGAGGACCATGCTTATCACGACCACCACGGCCACCAGGGCAAACATGGAGCTATTCCAAGGAGTTGCTGGGGAGGGACACACAGGACAGAGCCTTGAGGAGAGGCTGGGTGCCCCTCAGGCCCACTAACAGACTGGCTCACAGCATCAACTTTCCCCTGCCGTGGGCCAGGTGTGGTAGAGAGACTAACTAAGCTGAAATGAGCCCTTTGCCAGGCGCAGAAACTTCTGGTCCAGTGTAGGGGAGGGGGGGGGATAAGATCTCTGCTCTGAAGTTCTCATCTACCTGGGGAGACAGCACTGCAGCTGGATAATAATAGTGGAGAAAGGAGGCATATGGATGAAGATAAATGTCACAACCTTCAGAGTTTTGCTAGGGGCTGGCCAAGTGCAGTACCAAGGAAGGAGGGAGGGAGGGATGGAAGAAGGGAGGAAGGAAGGACCCAGCTTCAGAGCTTTTGCATTTGCTGTTCCCTCTACCAGAAATGTTCTTCCCCCACATAATCTGCATGGCTAATTCCTTCAGCTCCTACAAGTTTGTTCAGACATCCTTCTCAGTGAGGCCTTCCTTGGCCACATTACATCCCGTTGCTGCACATTTCCTATTCCCTTTCTTTCCTTAATTTTTCTTCTTGCTCATCCCCAGCACGCCGTGCATTTTAGTCATTTGTTTATCTTCTCTCTCTTTCCCTAGAATGAATGCTCCATGAGGGCAGAGATTTTTGTTTTACTCACTTCTGTAACCCCAATGCGGAGAACAGTGCCTGGTGCACAGAAGGAACTTAGTAAATATTGGTGAACGACTGGGTGGATGAGTAACATGAGTGACCAGCCCTGAGAAAAGGAGGGTGCTGTTCAGCCAGACCCCTCTGGGTAGTCAGCCCCCTCAGCCTCAGTCCCTGCCTTGGAGGAAACGTGTGGCCTGCCGCAGAGGAGGGGACCATGACAGGGGGCTTCAGCCAGATTCCTCTCTTTGTGCCGAGAGCACATCCCACCATCCACCAATCCGCCCACCACTTACCATCTTCTACCCGAAAAAACCAAAGCATTTCTTCCAGCAGCTCCTGAGACACCTCGGTGACAAGTGGGGCCCCGGTAACCTCCTCACTGTAGTTCATGCCCCTGCTCCTGGTTGGGGTATGTCTCTGACAACCAAGACTTTTGCTGCCAGCTGCCCTCCTGGCCTCCTAGGTCCTGGCCCTTTACAAAGCCCTGAAGACCCCTGGAAACAAAACAGAGAGGGTGACGAGGTATGCCACCCCAGTTTATCCTCCCCTCCCTGCCCAAACGCAGCTCTCCTCGGGTCCAAAGTTGACGGAAACAGCAGGAATTTCCAGAGCAGGTGGGAGCTGGAGAAACAGAGACTGAAGAAGTGGGAGTCACTCAAATCTTTATTAAAACTCTTCACATCTGGGGAGGAGCACTGACCCAGGAGGGAGGAGGACTGAGCCCCTGACAGGCTTTGGGGCCCTTGCTGGGGACATGTCCTGTTGTCGCCCAGCGTCCTGGTCTAGCTTCCTCAGCCCTACAGCACTCCTGCACCCGGGTTCCTTAGCATAGATTTTCCCGTGCTGCCCATTCACAGGCGCCTGCCTCCCCACGTGACGAAGGCTGGGCCTGTCACAGGCTCTCTCCTGGAGGTTGACACGGCCGGCCGGGGCCCAGAGCTGAGAATCCGGGAAATGCTGGGGAGAGGTAGTCAGGGGCTTCTGCTGCTGAGCGCTGAGAGCTCCCTTCTCGCCGCCACCAAACTCATCCACAAGCCTGATTGGTCAGTGCTGCCCTCTGTTCGGCGGTGGTTACCAGATTTGTTTCCTGTCGTTTGCAAAGGAAGAAACTGAACCCATGCTCCCTGGATAAATCCCTGCCTTACTTTGAGCCTGTTGCCTTAGCTACAAAATAAGCAGGTTAAGTAAGCTATTTGTGTCTCAGTCTCAAAACAGTCACAGATTTTGGCATATTTCTCTACTACCTATACCAATAATACTTAATGGAAATTTTTCTAGTAGCCACATTTAGAAAAAAGCAAAATTAATTTTGACATTTTAAAATCCAATATATCAAAAATATTATTTCAGTGTGTAGTCAGTATAACCATCAATATAACAATGATTGAGATAATTTTCTTTGTACTAAGTCTTTCAAATTGGGTGTAAGTTTGACACTTAATTGCGTATCTCTGATGAGATTGATCCAAAAAAAGAGAGAAGAGGCAAATAAAATATAGAACGAAAATAAGACCAGAGATTTTAAAATACAGCAGTGTCTTTTGAACTATATGCAATTAAGCTTCACAACCTAGATAAAATGGATAAATTTTTAGAGAAATATAAAATACCAAAATTACACAAAGAAGAAACAAGAAACTTGGAGACTGATAAATCATAATAAAGAAATTGAAATAATGGTCTAAGACTTCCTTTCCAAAAATCAAGCCCAGGACACTAGCTGGCTTTAATCATGAATTCTGATAAATTTTCAATAAACAGTTAATTCCAAAAATAAAAAGCACAAGTTTTACTGCTCATTTAACAATGGTTTCAAAACTAGATGAGGACCATACAAGAAGAGTAAATGACTGGCTCATTCTTTTGTGAAAGTAGATGCAAAAATCCTAAATAAAGTCTTAGTAAACCAAATTCAACAATTTATTAAAAAAAATCATTATCAGTAAGTGGAAGGAAAGTTTGACATTAGAAACTGTATCAATTCACCACATTAATAGGCTAAAAGGGAGAAACCATATGATTGATATATATATATGATAAACACTTAGTAAACCTGGAGTAGAAAGAAATGTCTTCAGCTTGGTAAAGGCAATAGATAAAAATCCTCCAGCAAACATTATGTTTAATGGAGAAACGTTAAATGTACTCCCTTAAAGATAAATGGCAGCAATTTGCTGGTTGAATTTGGACCATTACAGTTTAATATAGTCCTGGAGGTCCTAGCAAGTGGGACAAGGAAAGAAAAAGGAGTGTGAGACTTGATAGGAAAGAGCTAAAACTCACAGTTTTCAGAGGGCAAGATCATCTACCTAGAAAAGTAAACAGTTGAAATAATAGATGCATTCACTGAAGTTACTGTCTACAAGCTCAGTTCTCATATTATTAGTGAAACTGGAAAATTAAATAAAAATAAGATATCATTTATAGTAACATCAAAGCCATAAAACGTCTAGGTTAGTTTACCCAAGAATACAAAAGATCTCTATGGAGGAAATTTTTTAACTCTAGGATAAAATAATAATAATAATAATAATAATAATAATAATAATAATAATAATAATAATAATAATAAATGATCTGAATAAATGGAGAGATTTATGTTTTTAGATAGGATAAACTTATAAAGATGTCACTTATCCCCAAATTAATCTGTAATTTCAATGCAATTTCCATCAAAATTCAAATTGGATTATTTTGAGGACCTTGATACACTTATTCTAACATTTATATAGACGAAGTAAGTGTCCAGAAAAAGACTAAGAGGAGAGACTGGCCCCACCAGATGGTGAGACATAGTAATAAAAATGTGGTTTTTGACACAAGACCAGATCCCTTTACCAAGGCGTCAGAATAGAAATTTCATAGAGACCTATGTTCACATAGGACCTTGATACACGATAAAGGTAGCTCTGCTCACCAGTAGGAAAAGGAGGAATTGTTTAGCAGGTGGTGTCAGAAAAACCAGAGAAAAGGAAGACTGGATGCACATCCAACAAACAACACGTACAAAAATGGACCCCAAGATTAAAGGCCTAAATGTAAGAGGAAAAAGTATAAAAAAAGAAGCAAGACTTCTTCAAACCAGAAAAGCTCAAATCATTGCATAACAACAGAAAACTGATGGATTTGATTATATCAAAATAGGATGATCTGTTTAATGAAGGATACCATCAGTACAGTAACAAACACATTTCCGATTGGGACGAGACACTTGTGATGCTTAAAACCAAGAAGAGATTGATGTCTACAATATACAAAGAATTGCTGCAAATTAATAAGAAAAAGACTGGAATCCTAATAAATAGATAAAGGATATAAACAGGCAGTTTACAAAACAGGAAACCCAAAAGGCCAGCTAAGCATGTGGAAAAAATGCTCAAACTCTTTGGAAATCAGAAGAATGAAAATTAAAACAAAAATGAAACACTACTTGACATCCATGAGATTGGCATAGCTGGGAAGGTGGATAATGCCGAGTGTCGGCGGGGCTCCCGGACTACAACCTTAGGGACCACCAAGAAATGTAGACCAGGGCAGCCATTGAGAAAGCAGGTTAGTCACAGTGTGCACATGACACAGCAGCTCTGCTCCGGAATATTTTCTATCCCAAAGAAAGCATCCCCAGGGTCATAAGGAGGCATGGCATACCATTTATGAAAATCCAGAAATACATGCACAGAAAATAACAACACACGTTTTACAAAAACACATTTTAAAAAAGACAGACTCAACACAGAAAAATAATTATCTCTGGGGATGAAGAAAAAGGGAACAGAAATGGAGACAAAAGTTACTAAAGACATGAAACAGGAGAAGGGTTTTGAACAGTCCAATTGTGAAAATCTGTCATAGGGCTCAGAAGACAGCAAGGCAAAGAGAGAACAAGGGAGGCCCGGGGCTGTCTCAAGTTCCCTGCTCTGACTCTGCCTTCCAACCCCAAACAGCCTTTGGAGGCTCAGCCAGGAACATCCAAAAACAACGGGATAGCAAACAGCCAAACAGAAAAACAGGGTACTAAGGAAAAGATTGACATCAGCATTTTCTTCATCTCTAAGCGCTCTGAGAGGACTGAAGAAACATCTACAGATTTTGAAGGAAAATAGTTTGAGACAAACATAATAGTGAGCTAGGTTTTTCATATACAAATGATCTTTCATGTGTCAAGACAGAGATGGAAGTCAGGGAGAAAGAAAGGCTTTTTTTTAGATTTTCAAGGACTCAGATACCTACTACCTTACTCAGTTAGGAATATATACAAAAATCTACTGAAAAGGGGACAAAGTTACACAGATTGCAAATTGATGTGATCTTGTGTTCCAGCTCCAATCCAAAGCACTTGCTAAGAAGGATTGTGACCTTCTGTCCAATCTCAGATGCAAGAGTGTCTGGATTAATTGGCCGTAAGCCCCTGTTGCGTATGCAGACCCTCCCATACCCACAGAGAAGAGTGTGGAGGTCAAGATACCAAATACCAGCTCCCTCTAAGTGGGATGGGGTCTAGAACTACGGGACATTCACTCTGAACACTTCTGTATTGTATACATTTCTTGTGAGCGCGTAGTAGTGTCATGAAAACAATACGTGTAATTACATTTTTTAAATGTATGTATTGTGTATGTATATTCTAAATATATATTTTGTATATCTGTACGTATTTCTAAATGTATGTATATATTATCCGAAGAAAATGAGAATACTAATTCGAAAAGATACATGCACCCCTGTGTTCATAGCAGCATTATTTACGATTGCCAAGATATAGAAGAAACCTAAGTGTTCATCAACAGATGACTGGATAAGGAAGATGTGGTGTGTGTGTATGTATGTATGTATGTATGTATGTGTATATGTACATACAGTGGAATACTACTCAGCCATAAAAAGAATGAACCTTTGTCGTTTACAACAACGTGGATGAACTTGGTATTATGCTAAGTGAAATAAGACAAAGGAAGACAAATACTGTATGATATCACTTATATGTGGAACCTAAAAAATAAACTAGCAAAGATAACAAAGGAGAAATAGACTCATAGATATAAAGAACAAACTAATGGTTACCAGTGGGGAGAGGAAAGGGGGGAGGGGCAAGATAGGGTAGAGGATTAGGAGGTACAAACTACTATGTATAAAATAAATAAGCGACAAGGATATATTGTACAGCAAAGGGAGACACAGGCAAGAGTTTATAATGACTATAAATGGAGTATATCTTAAAAATTGAGAATCACTATGTTGTATACCTGAAACGTGATACTGTAAATCAACTACACCTCAATAAAAAAAAGTATGTATATATTATATTTATACCTTTCAAGCCAGCAGTTTCAATTTTGGGTGTTTAATTAGTGGAACTAATCAAGATATCAGTTCTCAATTTAATACAGGACAACCCCAGTCAAAATCACAGCGAGTTATTTTATGGGTATCAACAAACAGAATTTAAAGTTCATACAGAGAGGCAAAAGACCCAGGATCGTCGACACAATATTGAAGACGACCAGAGTCAGAGGACTGACACTACCTGACTTCAAGACTCACTATAAAGCAACAGTAATCAAGACAGTGAGGCATTAGAACTAATCAGATACATGTACAAATTTGCACGAAGTGTACAATTTGTACAAATTTATGAGCTGATGTCCACAGCTGAATGTGTTTGAAACATGGATATCATTGTTACAATAAACATATACCAACAAATAAAATAACAAGGTGGATACAAATCCAGAATGGAGAGTCAGCCCTCCCTGACTGAGAGGCCACAGACCCGAAGGGCACGTTTCTCTCAGACCACTCAACCAGTTTCCTTCTAGAGTGAGCCTAGGATTAATAGCCCTGCTTTTAAAAAATTATTAACTACACTTCATGATTTATTTGTTTTTCATTTTTCCGTTAATGTCTTTTTCCTGCTCCAGGCTCCCATCCGGGATATCGCATTGCATTTAGTTGTCATGTCTCCTCAGGCCCCTCTGAGAGATTCCTGCATTTTAAACAGGACTTAACCATCTGCCATTGGACCGTGATTCCGACCCAAAGCCCCGGACCACCCATCCCTGAGGGAGGCTGAAGACACTCACCCTGGATCCTGGGTTCCTGGGACTTGCCTGATCTGCTGTTGGGAGCAGCACTGATTTCTCTCTTCCTCCTCCTCTCAGGGGAGCACCGGATGGTCTTTGCACCTGAGTTGTCCGCACAGCTGTTGCCTGGGAGGCAGTGCTACAGAGCCCGTGGCAGCCGGGCCCATCCGGTAGCTCTGCGTTTAGCACACGCCCAGGTCCAGAGCCTTCTCTGTCATTCAGGGGTGACTGACCTCTTGAATGAATGGCCTCACATGGCAAACAGGCTCCATCTGACTTTCGCAATTGGAAGGAACCAGGAGCCAATGCCTTCCTTCTTGTGTGCTGGCCTCAGGTAGGAAGAAAGCATCCAATCGTTCTCGCCGGCCCAGAGAACAGGCTGGTGAGGGCCCTCAGCCTGGGGGCCCCATCCCCGCAGGGGGACGCGGGGCGTGCCCGCTCAGGCCTCTAGTTCCTGGTGTTATCAATGTTTAACCACGGAGCAGGGAGCCAGGTCTGGCCTTTTACAGCCTCACTGTGGTTTGTCACAGTGAAGGTCATGGCCTCATTTGAATTCCTTACAAGAAGCTATAAAATAAGACCTTTGGAGGGCCAGGGGTAGGGAAGGCAAAGCACGTGAGGCCGTGTGAGTGACCCAGAGAGGAAGGAGGCCAAGTTGAACAGCCTTGAGCGGGAAGGGCTTGGTTGGCGAGCAGGAGAGGAGTGAGGGAGGTGCTCCTCCTCCACCGGGCCAAACCCCTTCAATGCTGATCATCAGTGGGCTCTGGGCTTTTCTGCCCACGCTCCTTGTATCTCCAACAACTCTTGGAGTTGACTTGGCAAGGAGTGGGTTTCCCATTTCACAAATGAGGATTCAGAGACTGAGTGAAGTCGTGTGACATGTGCAGACTCCTCTGTGAGTTAACACTGGTTAACGGTCTGGACGGCAGAGACAAAGGGATGCGACAGGGAACCTAGGGCCTGAACGGGACTCCAGCACCACATCATTTCATGACTCATTCATTCAGTAAATATTACTTGAGCACCTACTGTGTGGACACATAGTAAACAAGACAGGCAAAGACCTTGCTCTCCTGAAGCTCAGACTCTTGGGGACAGACAGGCAACAAAAAAAGTAAGTCAAACATAAATAAGATAATTTCAGCTCATGACAGTTTCTGTGAATAGTGTAAACAAGAAAATGATACAGAAATAGATAGGGTGGGGAGGGGGCTATGATTACTGTATTACTTTACTAAAAAAAAAAGAATGATGAAGAATTAACCATGCAAAGACCTGGGACAGCAGGTGCAAAAGGCACTGAAGAAATAATGAGCTTATTGTGTTGGGCTAAAAAGGGCAATGTAGCTGACGGATGGTGATGAGGGGAAGTGGCATGGAATATAGGTGGAGATAGAAACAGATTGTGCAGTAAAACAGTATAAAAAGTATGGATGTAGGGGAAGCCACTGGAGGTGACATGATCTGCCTGACATTTATCTATGATCACTTGGCCTGCTGGGTGGAGAATGGTTTGTAGGGAAGCAGGAGAGGAGACAGGAGACATTGGGAGGCTGTTACATTCATCCCGGCAAGAGACAGTGGCGGTTTGGAGCAGGATCATGACAGCAGAGCCAGTGAGAAGTGGTCAGAGTCAGGGTGCATTTTGGAGAGGAAGGCAGTGATAGATTTCAAGAGAAAGGAACTCGACTCTAACTTTCTTAAGCACAAAAGGAATTCAAGAAGAATTCATTGGCTCATCTAACTGGGAAGAGCAGAGAGCGGATAACCCTAGGGGTAGCTGGAACCAGGAGCCTGAAAATCCTTTGCTCTTTCTCTCTCTGGGTCTCTTCCTGCTTCTCTCTGGGTATCAGGCTCATTCCCACAGGCTGGTCATCTCCAGGTAGCTGCACCAGGCTGCAGAAAATCCGGGCTAACACCCTGACAGCTGGAGGGGAGGGAGTCCTCAGGTAGCTCCAGTTGGGCAGTTCCTGGGAAAGGACTCTGATTGTTTTAGCCTGGGTCACACACCCACCTTTTGGATCAGTTGTTACGGGGTGAAGGGTGAAGTACCGTGGATGCCAGCTCGAATCTCTTGCCCATCGAATAGCCAAGAGAAAAAGGCTATGAGCTGGATAGTCATGCCCATGTATGTCCCTGAAGTGACCCCCTGACCACAATCTGCCCTGTCTGTCTTGGGGGAGTGTCACTGGGCTTTTAAAGGGAATTGAGTCCCCTTCAAGGGAAGCCTGCCCCACTCCAGGCTTTCCACTCTTCTGCCTGTTTCTCTTTTCTTCCTCTTATTCTAGTTCCCTCTTCTATAGTTTATGATTCCATGCCCGCTGTGTGCCAGGATCATCCTAGTGGTGGACAATCGCAGGCATTGTCCCTGGCTTCATGGAGACTTCCGTCTAGTGGGGAGTCACGCACGTGGTCACACCAGGGATTGTGTCGTTGTGACTGCTGTGTGGTAAGTACCAGGAAAGAAACGTGCACACAGAGATGAGCACACGTTACCAAGCCCTCCCTTCCTCATAGCCTCAAATATCACTTCTGGACAAATGAATCCTACTTTGGACTTTCCTTTCCTGACCTCTCCAGTCCCTCGTCTCCCTGCCTGGAAGAGGCTGGGCAATTTGTATTGGAGTGCAGTAGAAAGGGCTTTTGGCTTTTCCCTGATGTTCTAATATCTTCCACCTCATAATCCTTCTAGTCTCAGCTTAAATATCATCTGGTCAGGGATGCCTTCCGTATCAGTTAAGAATTGTGTTTGGCTCTGGGTAACAAAGGCTCAAGTTCATTGGTTTAAAATACGTAAGGGTTAATTCTCACATATAAGAATTTCGGCGGGAGCCAGTTACTGATGTCAAAAGCTCAAGGAAATCAAGGCTGACATTTCTGAGATTTCCCTCATGGTCCCAAGAAGGCTGATGCAGCCTCTGCCATAATGTCCAAGCTTCAAGCAGAAAAAAAAAAGGAAAAAGGAAAGAAGGACCAAATTATACTTGGCCATCAAGTATAATGGACAAATGACCTGCCAGACAGCACAGGGAAGCACAGACAAGGGCGGCATTCCCATAGAACAGTAGCAGGGCAGCCTGGTGGGCTAACCTGGGAACTTTATTTCCAGAGGAGTCTTCTCAGGTCATGCCCAGCAGGATTTGATAACTGTCATGGCTCAGTGAGTGCTGCACAGACTGTAACAGCGTGCTTACTGACCCCCAGGATACATTCTTCCTTCTTCCTTCTAATAAGAGAACCCTCTGAATTTCAGAGGCATATGGCCACCCAGCTAGAGGCTGCATTTCCCAGATCCCTTGCAGTTTGGAGTGTTCCTTTGACCGAGTTTTGGACAAGGGATGAGACAAGCAGTGTGCTACTTCTGAATCACTTTTTTTTTTTGCAGTTTATATAAACTGTTTGGTTGAAACGTAACATACACGCAGAAAGGTACACAAATGCTAAGCTATGGCTTAGTGGATTTTCACATGTGAACACACCCATGTGTGGGAACATACCCTATCCACATCAAGAAATAGAACACTGCCAGAAGCCAGATGTCTTCTCACATCCACTTCTGGTGACTGTTTCCCACAAAGGCAACCCCTGTCCTGACTTTTAATACCATTTATTAGTTTGCCTGTTTTTATATTTTACACAAATGGAATCGACTAATGTGTGATCTTTTGTGTCTGGCTTCTTTTTCTCAGCACTATATTGTGGCACTCATTCATGTTGTGTGTAGTTGTAGGTCATTCATTCTTTTTTTTTTTAGCTTTTTTTTAATTGAGTTATAGTCATTTTACAATATTGGATCAACATTCATTCTTGATTTCAGAGTATTCCATTGTGTGACTATGCCACTATGTCACTATTTTTATCTGGGGATCCTGTTTTCATGAGAGAACTTTCGACCCACCCACTTCTTTCCTCTGTCTGGAACATGACTGTGTTGGTGAAAAGTACGTCTGAAGGCAGGAGTCGTTGGATTACAACCCATGGGTCAAATCTAACCTGCAGCCTGTCTTTGTAAATACAGTTTTATTGGGACATGGCCATTCCCATTTGCTTATGTAATGCCGTTGGTTGCTTTTGCACTATATTAGCAGAACCGAGCAGCTGTGACAATGACTGTATGGCCTGCAGGGCCTAAAATTCTTACTTCTTGGCCCTTTACGGGAGAAGTCTGTGGACCCAGGCAACAGGTTAGAAGGAACCTGGGTCCCTGAATGACCTCATGGGGCAGAGCAGCCTACCCGCCCGGACCAGCTGTCCACCTCCGGAGTGTTGTGTGTGAGAGAGGTAAGCTTTGGTATGATTTGAGGCACTGTTTTTGAGATCTCTTTGTTATGGAAACTTAGCCTGTACTGTAACTAAAACATGCATTATTTATGCTCAGTCATTGCTGAATCAGTGAATGCCGTGGCTTCAGAAGAACTCAGTCCTAGTCTTCTTCATCTTTACTACAACCAACCATATGACCTTGGACCTTGGACCTCTTTTTCTTATCAAACCATATAAGCTTCAAAGAGAAGTAAAAAGGAAAGGCATCTGAGAAATTATTACCAGAAGAGATCAGTTGTGTAATAACAAAACCCAGGCTCTTTAAATTCAGGAGGTTTTCACCTGGGGTTAACCAGTTAGCTTTTCTGCTTAATAGGTAAATAGGTAAAAACCCAGTAGGAAGGGGAATGCTTTTCCTAAGAACAAGGGTGGTGAAGGTAAGGAAACACCCACTGAGCTGTCCAGGGTTCTGACCTTCAGTTCAGGGCTCTTTAATGTGAGCCCAGGGTTAAAGTGTCAGGTTGGGTCCTACCCTGAGCTCCAGGGCCCTAAGGGTAAACATTTTCCTGCTTCTCAACCTCCCACCTCCCCACACTGAAGGTGTGATGCCTGCTAGGCTGACAGCCAGCAAAGGCTTCAAGGTGGTGGAGACTGCTCTGTGTTTCCAGGTCAGGGTGTTCTGTTCCTCGGAGTGGGCCATCCATTGTCAGCTGGTGCCAGGATACCTTCATTTTCACAAACATCACTTACACTCAGAAGCCCATTTAATCATTCATGCAGTTTGAACAGTAATTCTGCCAAGTCCCCAAGAGCAGCACATCCTCTTCTCTGCAGAGAAATTTCATAGAAAATGAAGTGAAATCCAAAGGTGGTGATATAAGGAAATGATAACACACAGGATAATGCAGCAGAGATATACGTACAAGGATGTTCACTGCAGTATTGTTGGAAAAGATGGTTTAAAAAATCTAAATGTCCAAGAATGGGGGAGGGTGAAATTATGGTACCAATGGAACCAATATTTCTTTTAGTGGCCAATTTTTATATTAAATCCAGAGAAGGGAAGCCTATAGTAGAATTAGTAAGGAAATTTTCTGAAAAGGTACGTAAATTTAGTCCAAAATTTTTGGTGCTTAAGCACTGACTCGATGCCTCCATTTGAATAGGGTGGTTGAGAAGATGGATAGGTACCCAAGGGAAGCCATCCTTACACTGAAATAAAATCATCTCAGTGATCAAATGCTTTTTCAACCAACCTAGATATTGCTGGAAGCATTTCAGGAACACTTGCAAAGTATTAGAAATTTGGGCAGAAACTGGCGTGAAACAATGGTACAAAGTATGTACCTTCTCCAAGAAAGGACATTCTGCAGCCATCACTTTTATCTGGGCTGTAACACTGGAAACTTTCTATGTCATTGACCCTTATCTGCCATCCTCAATTCTATGTCTTTGACCCCTTGCTCCTGGTTATAGTATAACTAAATACCTTCTTCAGTCCCTGACTAAATCAAAGTCCAAGAAAGAGTAGAATAAAATCAAAGTCTATCAGCCTTTCATTTTACTCATATGAGGTACTTGAAGTTTAATCATTCCCCTACACAGCAATCTTTGAATAGCTTTGTCTTGAAGAAAGTTGCTCTATAATGTGTTTGAGGAATGTGTAACAACTTGGTAAATGAGCCTGGTGTGTTACTTTGTCTGAAACTTCTTGTTCTCACCTTCACAAGCAAGTAAGCAGCCTTTCAGGGGAACTAGGTGGCATACAGTTGACCCCACTGTTAAAGAAAACACTGGGGATGATTTAGTTAGGACCACTTAGTTGAAGTTTTATCACAATCCTGCTGTCAGGGGAAAGGCCTCTGGTAGTCCCAGGTTAGAAAAGCATTTTGGTGAGTGGTTAAATAATCGTTGTTGGAC